ATCGACTTGCTTAGTTCAAGTGTCTACGGCACGGTAAATCGCCTTGCTCAGTTCAAGTGCCTACGGCACGGTAAATCGACTTGCTCAGTTCAAGTACCTACAGCACGGTAAATCGAGTTGCTCAGTTCAAGCGCCTACGGCACATTAAATCGACTTGCTCAGTTCGCTCAGGCATTCAGCATCCTTGATGCTCTTTGGTGGGGTGCACTCAGATGTCCGGCGACCTTGATACTCATTGGCTTGATGCGCTCGGATATACAGATACTCATTAGCACGATGCGCTCAAATACTCATTGGCGCGATCCGCTCAGATATACAGATACTCATTAGCGCAGTACGCTCAGATACTCATTGGCGCAGGGCGCTAGGATGTATAGATACTCACTAGCGCAGTGCGCTCAGATACTCATTGGCGCAGGGCGCTCAGATGTACGAATACTCATTCACTCGGTGCGCTTAGATAGTCATTGGCGCAGGGCGCTCAGATGTACAGATACTCATTACCATGGTGCGCTCAGATACTCATTGGCGCAGGGGGCTCAGATGTACAGATACTCATTGGCACGACGCGCTCAGATACTCATTGGCGCTGGGCGCTCAAATGTACAGATACTCATTGGCGCGTTGCACAGGCACACTGTAACCCTTGTGCTCTCGGTCGTGGCGCAYAGGCATACGRTAACCCTTGTGCTCTCTGGTGCGGCGTACTGGCTTACAGTAACCCTTGTGCTCTCTAGCGTGGCGCACAGGCATACAATAACCCTTGTGTGGTAATGGTGCACACCGGAATTAAAATAAAATAAAATAAAATAAAAACCGGGGCTTATTCACAAGCGACCGGTCTGACTAAAGGGGGATGACGAAAGTGAGTAGGGAGGGAGGAAGAATAAAGGGAGAGAAAAGAGCCAAGGGGGAGAGAGATAGGAGGGGAGGCAAGGGAGAGGGCTCTGACCCTAGTGAGAACCAGGACTACCTCTTCCCCAAGCTGCTCCACTCCTTTACCTCTTTCTTGCTTGCCTTGTCTTTCTCCTTCCCTTACTTGTTCCAACGTTGTAACTCCCGCTTGCCGTTCCGCGAGTGCTTCCGCATTCCCGCAAATGAGGGTCTCTCGTCCCTTCTTAAGTGGCTCGGCCTCTCTTTTATAGTGAAGAGGCCGGGTGATTGGGCAAGGTGCAGCGGTCCTTGGGCTAAAAATAGCACAGGCCTATGCTAAAATTAGCGCGGGACTGGGACAGTCCCGGCTTTGGGACACGAACAGTCAGTCCCGTGTTAAAAATACCACGGGCCTGCGCAAAATATAGCGAGGGCCTGCGCTAAAATTAGCGTGAGAGTGCGCTAAAATTAGCACGGGCCTGCGCTAAAATTAGCGTGAGACTTCGCTAAAATTAGCACGGGACTGGACTGGACTTTGGGACTTCGCTAAAATTAGCGCGGACCTGCGCTAAATATAGCAGAAGCTTGTGCTAAAATTAGCACGGGACTGCGCTAAAAATAACGCGGGACTTGGCTAAAAATAACGCTGGACTTGGCTAAAAATAGCGCGGGACTTGGCTAAAAATAGCGCGGGACTTGGGACAGCCCCAACCTTGGGATACAGACAGTCAGTTCAATGCTAAGAATAGCATGGGTCTGCGCTATATTTAGCTCGAGCCAGTGCTAAAAATAACTCAGGCCTGCGCCAAAAATAGCGCGGCCAACGCTAAAAATAGCACGGACCAATGCTAAAATTAGCATCGGGCTTGGGCTGGCCCAACTTTGGAATACTAAGGGTCGGCCTTGTTTTAAAAATAAAACACCCCTCTTAATCATAATAAGGGTCCCAATCCCATATTCCCCTTGACCATTTCGGGCCGTAGTCTTCCCGACGCGGCAAGTCCGGTCCCAAGTGGTCAATTCTATTTTTCTCACTAACCCTTGGTCCGTTTTCAGTACCGTTTGGACCGGGCCCTACTAATCTGGCCCTTGCAGACGCGGCGGTTCAGCCCAAAAGTCGTGATTCGATCTCCATGGAGCTGGACCGTTGCGCCGTCTTGTCCGCTAACTTGACCCAAGGGCCAACCAGCGTGTCAGCATTCTGCTGATCATGACCATATGCAGTCCTATGGTGCGGAGGCTGGCCGCGACGAGTCAACTATACATTGACGCGGCGCGTCGCTGTCCGACAACGCGGGACATGTTCTAGGGGTTTCGGGTGGCGTGACGGAGACTGCGCCACGCACAGGAGACATGCCACCCCCTCGTCCTAGACCGCCTGTAAGTGATCCATTATTGGCGCCCACGGGCAGAGGCTCTCGATCCCCACACACGCCTAGGAGACCTAGGATTCGTGACATGACAACAGTTCAGCGGGACGTGTGTGACACGACGTTATTCGGCACAACAGACATAGATTTGGATTCGACCCGCCGTGTCACGGAGCATACTGCACGCCTTCAGCTGGGCTTGGGACCCCGTGGCACAAGGACGACCGCGGCGAGGGAGGTACCAGCATCAGGTTGTGAGCCTCAGCGAGGTTGCGACAAAGGAGTGTCCACCGAGATCTTGGAGCACGCTTTGAGAGCAGCGATGCGTGTCGTGCATGAGCAGACTCCACGCAAGCGTGGAATGCCTCCTCGTCCACGCCCCGTGCCTGCAGAGGGAGGCGCTGCGCTTGGAGAGAATTTGGGGGCGGAAGGGTTGGGGTTGCCTCGTGGATCCCGACGTGAGCAGACGGTTGCAGAGGCTGGTACGAGGGTTGTTGTGTTGAGGAAGGGAGGAGGCCCTGTCACCATCGAGGAGGATGATCCTGATACGGATGCAGCAGTGCGGGAGGAGGACGAGGACTGTGAGGGCGAGGAGGAAGGAGAGGAGGAGAAGAAGAGCGGTTCCGATGGTGACGACGACGACGACGACGATGAGTCCCCACCTCCCCCACCGACGCGTGCATCTAGACGCTCCGCTGCGCGGACTTCTTCATCCGCACGAGGGAGGAGGAGGTCGACATCCGGCACTCGAGGGGGTACGAAGAGACGGAGCGGGAAGGGGAAGAAGGCTCGTTGACTGATGAGGCCAACACTCCACTTCTCCCCTACTCGCACTGTACTTCGTCATGTTCTGCAGTCCTAGTTTTTTTGGTCGTCTCATCTTGTCTTAGAGGGTTAGACTGACGATTACATGAGGGAACAGAGCCGTTTTGGCATTAAATTCTCACAGGTTCCCATATGGTCAACAAGGGACGTAGACTCATTATCACGGGTAGCTAAGTGTGGAGGACTGTCGAGAAAAGTCGACCTGATCAGATAGTCGGTCCGAGAAAGTCAACTCCTCGGTGCATGACATACAGGTTGGTCTTAAGAGGTTCTACCGCGTGTATGCCTATGCTACGACGATCGAGAAAACGACCTCGGTTGACTTACCTCTACGATTGCAAGTAAAAGCTTTCGCACGTGAGTCAGTAGCTTAGCAGGGATACGCCCACCTAAGTCCCGTGGTGCTACCCAGATCTCCGGTTTTATTCTTTTTTTTTTTTTTTTCCATTTTCGTTTTTTATGTTTTTGCCGTCCACCAACTCTCGCAAAAAAATATTTAAATTCATAGGCGTGTAGAGCACATTTTTATCTACACGCCCACTTTTTTTTTTTTTTTTTTTTTTTTTTTCCGTTCCCGAAACAAATTTCGGGGTTTCACGCCCGCTGTCGGCTGCGGGCGGGGTCACGACCGCGGATGATACATAACCCCCAGACAACTGCGGCCTACCTGGTCTGCACCGCGGACCTGATTTTATAGGAATTTTCCTGAATTAAATAATAGGTAAAAATAAATAAAAATAAAATAGTGTTGTAGGGAATTTTCAGCCCTACAATTCCATATTTTTTGTTCTTGAATCCGATTTTGTTTAGGATTTTTTAAAAATCAAAAACAAAATTGGATTTAAAGAAAATTAAAAATATATATATAAAAAAAAGCATGAATTTTTTTTGGTCATTTTTTATCATGAGATATATGGTCCGTAAGTTTTCCTGTATTTCTTTAGAACTGAATTTATGTTTTTTGCAGAAGCATGAGGTGTTTTGAAAAAATGCAGATGCAAAAAAAAAAAAAAAAAAAAAAA